TGTAACGAGAGCAACACAATGAGCATTTTTGATAGCAGTTTTGTCACCATAGTTATCCTGCAGAGTGTCCACCAGCAAATCGTAGTTGTCTTCGGTGACCATGATACCTTCCACTCTCATTTTCACTTGTTCTGATAACTGGCCCTTCAGAAAGTTGAACTTCGTGACTTTCGAGATATCCTTCACATCGTGTACTTCGGACTTAAAAACATCCCAGAAGCTGAGCCATTTCCTTCGGTCCCCATCAAAGACTGGCAATGCCATTTTCGGTAACTTCAGTGCAGAGTGTTTTAGCTGTTTGGAGACACCCGAATCGGCATATGGAATGGATTTAGAGCTCTGAAGCTGCTGGGCGCGAAGGAGGAGTTTCTCGATTTGTCTCAACAAGGCTGAATGCGTATCAGAAATATTGTCTGTGTCGACGAAATCTTGATCTTCTGTGTCCTCCTCTCCCAGTATAGCGTGAAGGTTTTGAATCTCTTTGTCCATTTGTCTCATTGCGGGTCTTACATCAAGAAGCTTTTGTTGACCAGCCTTCAACTGTTCGATGTCTTCTTCCGCAATTTCGGCTTCGGCAGCTTTATCGAAGATTAGAGCGAGTTTCTTGCCTTCATTAGTGAACATCCGACGTAAGTTACCTCTCCTTTTGACGGCGATTTTTAAAGAATTCTTAAGTTGGTCGGCTTTCTCCGTCATTATGAACTGTGAATTCAACTTACTTGAGAAGTTCTGAAGATTCGGCTCCACCACGTGCTATCAGTTCGCTGCCACTTCTTTTCATTGAAGAAACGATCGATATCCTGGTCACGGCACCATTTTGTGTAAACCACAAGACTGAATTAATTGACTTTAATCGACGGATACTTAATTACAAACTTCTAACAGTGACAGAACAAAACGGGACGGCCACGCTTAGTAAAACACAACTAGTACATAACGAGTCCAAGTTCCAACATGGCGGTTCTCTCGTGCAGTCGAGCGCGTTTTTTTTTAACTGTCTCTGCGCATGTGCCGCACGCACACCGCAGGTTAATAGGATTGCGGTCTAAACTACTAGTCACCAGATTCCACAAATTACAAATGAAATCTTGAGAGTTAAAGGAGTACGACACATGGTAATCATATGTACCAGAAAAACAATGAATATATGTAACATACTTCAGGAAAGTGTTCTTATATACATTGAAGTTTCAAACTAATTGAAACTAAGTTCACTTCATGATTAAGATTTTTAGTTAAAGAAATGTGTAAGATCTCTTTACATGGATGAAAAGAGAATGACATTTATGAATTTTAAAATAAAAAATGCCAAAAACTTAAAGATGAAATTTAAAAAATAACTAGATATAGCATATCTATTCTCTGAGATTTAATCATTAACTAACACACAGAGATATTAAAGAGGCTTTGTGAAAAAAGCAGCGCATTAAAGTTAAAGATTCAGGAGAAGCATGTGACATTAGCTAGTGTACTGGTGCTCTCACCTGAATTCATTCTGGAAAGAGAGCTCTGCAACACTTCTGTTTTATCTTCTCAGTCACTTCAATTAAAACAAATTTAAATGTTTACAGGCAGGTTAAGGAGGAAATTAAAGTAGATATATGTTACATTAAAAGAAACATGTTACAATAAAATGAAGCAAAAGCATATTACATGGCTATGCTTCTGACTACAGCTGCAATAGGTGAATTTAAGCAATTATCAACCTAATATTATGTAAACCGGGTGCAATGTATGGTCATAAAAGAAATTTATTCTAACCTTCCTGCTTGAAGGATGCCTTAAGTATCAAATATGTCAAGTTCAATACCTCCAGATTTATAAGCTACAATATCTCCAGATTTATAATAATTAACAAGGTATGCAAGGTTAATTTATCAAGAGTGAATTAAGTATAGTTTCCTAAAATCGTATGGAAATTTTATAATGTGCGTCACTTGTGCTACATATACGGACGTTCCTAATTACTGATTAAAATTCCAACAACAACAACAACAACAGCATTTATTTAAACACGATAAAAAATTCAACAAAAGCTGATGTGGTCGTGTACGGACAATAAAACTAAATTCCTAACTAAATCCAATAAAACTAAATTCCTAACTAATTATAAGAAGACTAATGAAGATTTCTACATATTTTCAACAATAAAAATTCTACATAGTACATCATTATAACATACGTGGCTTAAAAATACACTTGAGTGACTTTTTAAAAGCAACAACAACAACAATTATTATAGAGCGTGACTCAATTAATTCAAAAGAAAATATCAAAGCAGGTTACAGAATTGGTTCACAAGTTGTAAACTGATAATGTGTCAACAAAACTCCCCAAAATTATGGTGCCAATAAGAATTTATTGTTCATAATCACTTATGAAATTCCGAGATTGTACCTCAATGAATTCAACAGAAAATATCCAGGAAGGTCACAGAAACGGACTTTCAAAAACTCGAATTCGACAACTGTAAACAACTATTATTTATGCTAACCATGTCATTACCAGCGTGCTTGTGAGCTCATATAGCCAGGAGCCCATTCAATTACACGATCACAGCTCGGAAGCTTCTTGAAAAATGTGATGACTATCAATTTTTAGAGATGGATTCTTCAGTTTCCAGCACTAGGAAAAATTTATCATATTGCAAGCATGTTTATCATAACCCAAGCATTAGGTATGCCTCGAGATGTCGAGCGAAGAGAAAGTGGCTATATTTTTTTGAGACAAACCATTTCTTCAAGTTCGTATGAATCGAGTAAAAAGCGTGATAACAGCGCTAAAAGGTGCCATAACCAAACAATGACATTTACTCCTCGCATGGTAGGATGAATACCATTTTACCTATGAGTTTGTTTGCACCACACATTTCGCGCTCGATAACTTAATTCTCAGATGTTTGACGGGTTTTCTCATGACAATATTTTCAAAATCAAATTACCGCGTCAGACTTAATAAAAAAAGGAACATCGCTGACTCAATCTCATTATATTCAATTTTGGAAAAAGCTATCACATCGTTCTTAGAGTAAAACAGCAAATCTGCGACAAAGTGCGATTTTTTAAATGAATAATTTAAACCATGCGATAGCTAACTGAAGAGAGAATGATAGAAACTTTATCATGCCGTTCGCTATCATTTTAAAAACTTTCAGGGAAAGACATAATTCATAAGTTAACTTTCTTCCCCTAAACACCACGACGGTATTAAACATTCCAAAAGGTAAGACGAGAAATAATCTTAAGAATACGAACACTTTGAAATGTTATTCGAGCGATGAACCGGCGCGAGGGTTTTAAAGCAATGAATACAAACGTCACTGTTTTACCGAAACGTAATTTGAATTGTAAACTGAAGCTAGTATCAAAGGAAGATTGGGAAAAAAGATTTGAATTTTTCTGGGTCTTAGCGTGAGAGAAAACCTAGATGAGACACGACTTACCTCCTCTTCTTTCTCAGAACCTTTGTGGTTCGCTTCTCTCTGATGATGACCCCTTTTCAGTTTGTTTTCTGGAGCTCTTTGTATTTCCTTCTCACGTTACAGTTCGCTGAATATTCGCCTTTTTAGATATGCCTTTTATTGTTCTCTTTCGCGTTCATCTCGCCGTTTTCTGCTTGTTTTAACGTCCTTTCTAACTTTATTGCGCGTTTTTCTCGACTCACTTGACGCCTTTTACCCCTTGCTTTCTTCGGTTGCTCTGTCTATTTCTTTCCAGCTTATTTTTCACTCAAAACCCTCTCTCCACAGACTTGAATTATAAAAAATTTCCTGTGGTTGACAAAGCTTTAGCTCTGCCAGTATTGTTGCTTTGCGAGTTGATAAAAAAAAAATCCAAAATACTGAGAATTACTGTTCAACTACAATCACCTCAATTTGATTTCCCGCTCAAAACGCGTGTCGCAAATTATTTGCTCATGTGGCCTCACATCTACAAGCCCACGTGAACCCCTTCATTAATACCTAACCGTGTGCCCACTGTACGCTGCACTAAAGCTCGGCACTTGAGTATGCACACTTCATAGTGATCTGTCGGTGTTTCTTGGTGCACACTAATGAGGTATCCTAGTTACGCGCACAATCACGCCTGCGCACTACCTTCCCCTTCACCCTTTTATTATGTAATGGCAAAGATAGTGCCTGTATGTAGTTAGTTGCGCTTGCTCAAAGTAGTACCTTATACAGACGCCTGTACGGTGTCAAGTCTAAATTTTTTCGGCTTGATGGGTTACTGCTATTTTGTATAATTATGAGGCTTTGCTGCGCGCGCTGTGAACTCCACTATAATGGATATATTTGCAGGAGGTCATAGAAAAATAGATACAACTGTAGAAGGTGTTGAAGAAGCAGCAGAGCCACAAGTACCAAAAGGTGATAAGGGGGTGATACTGGTCCAAAAGGAGACAAAGGTGAATCAGGTCTAAAAGGAGATACTGGTGCACTAGGAGGCTAAACGTTACCAGAGAGATACTGGTGCACAAGGCTTCAAGGGTGATACTGGTGCGCAAGGGCCACTTGGTAGTGGTGCTAATGGGTCTCAGGGTCCTAAAGGTGTCGAAGGAGATACTGAAGCACAAGGACCAAAAGGAGATACCGGTTTTCAGCGTCCAAAAGGTAACAAAGGAGATACTGGTCTTCAAGATCCTAGGGGTGATAAAAATGACACTGGTGTTAGAAGTCGAAAAGGTGATCAAGGGGACACTGAAGCACAAGGACCTAAGGGTGATGAAGGTGATACAGGACCACAGGGGCCATCTGGTAGTGGTGATTCTGAAGACCTTTTGACTGTTTTATTATTTGATGGAACTCAGATAATGACAGGTACTTTGTATATGAACAGTGAAAAGGTTGTTAATCTTTGGGATCCATCAAGTTCAACAAATGCCAGTAATATCGAGTATGTTGGCACCACTTAAATACACCCACTTCAAATACTGATGCTGTTAATAAGATATTGAGTGAGACAACATACCGAAAAAAAAGTGATGATAACCAATTTTTGAGATTGGGAAGTGGTATTAGATGGGATGCTGATGGTAAGACTATTTATGACCTCAGTAGAGCACAATATGATGATGAAGCTGCAACCTTAAGACAGATGAAACACATCACAGACAAGAAAATATATATGGACAGTCTGCTACCCCAAACATTAAAAGCAGTTTGTTGATACCAGACTATGACAGCAGGGATAACAGTGATAAAGAGGTGATTAACAAGAAATATGTGGGCAGTAAAACTTTTTCTTTAGATGTATCAGAAGGTCTTGATATGAAAGGCAATGAGGTGATTAATGTAGCAGACCCAACAATTGCAACAGATGGAAGCAATAACAAGTATGTTGATACAGAAACAAGCAATTATTTGAAAACAAGAGTAATGAGTGGTAATTTGAATCTGAAGAGCAGAAGTATAATTAATGTCAAACAGGCACAGGCACATTAAAGCACACATGCCTGATATTAATTTTGTAAATACAACTATCAACAATAATAATAATACATTAATGACTACTACTTATCAGGAGTATGTTAACGGAAGATCGAATCTATCTGTCGGTAGTGCAGACTTGTAAAACTCATTTTCATATGTCATGAATAAAAGTGGGCAGTTCAGTCACGAAGTTAACATTATAGGGTTAAATTCATTATTCAAGACTTTCCTCAGTTCAATAAAAAAATCCATGAAATGAAACTGC